ACAATAAAAAAAAGCATTTCATTAGGACTTCAGGATCTCTCGTAGCGACAGTGGTGGAAGAAGTACTCAAGAGCATTTAACCATACACTAATGTAAAATACTTCATTACAAGTGAAAGTCATGCATTCAAGTACAGAAGTATTGTCAACGAAACAAAAGTACTCATTCTGCAGAAAACTGGCCTCCATGTGATATTTAAAAATATATTGAGGCCATTAATCATCAATTAGCAGGTTACTGTCGTAGAGAAACGACATTCGGATACACATGTTTTTAATGTCCATATTTGTGTAATATATTGGATTATTTTACCTTTTTGTACCTTAAATAGTTATTATTAATATGTATCATTTGTATATAAAGTCCAAAACCTGTATCTCCAACTTAACTAACATTTAAAGTAAATTGATTTCGAGTAAAAAACATGATTTTCCTAATAGCATTTAATTTAAATTGAAAGTACAAGTAGTGGACTTGAGTTAATGTACTTAATTACTGTTAAAGTTATTTCAAAAATGCAAAAACCGAAAGTAAGACTATAATCTGCATACTGTACTTAAAGGAGTTATTGATTGTGCAGTAGATAGTAGGTCTTATAGTTATTTGTTAATGTAACCCAATTTGTGTTCTTTGAAATTGAAAAGGATATCGCATTGTGTTTGTTACTTTCGTTGCAGTTGTATATGTCTTAAGTGTAATTTGGCTTGGCTTCCTATTTATGGACATGCTTTTATTTTGAAGGAGAGTTAGCGCTGTTGACAGGAAGTTGTTGTTGCTATGGAAACAACTTGACTGGGATTAACGGAGAAAAGTAATATCTACATATAAAGACGGAGAAAGTAAACGATAACGTTTATGGTTAAGTGTTAGCCCCCCCGAAGAGGCACAAGCTCTTACGTTGATATTGGAGATTTCAATTTGGAAAAAAAAGCAAAAAAACAAACAAAACGAATAACGAAATTGAAACCCGAATAGTACTCCAACGAACGAATATTCGGGTACAGCCCTAGTAGATAGTCCACGTTTTCCGTATTTTGGATGAATATTACTTCTTCATTAATGCGCACATTTCATTGTACCTAAAGTGTTTGTGCATGTGAGTATTACTGGCATGATTTGTACGGTGTATACCCTAACACAGTAAAAACAGAATACCCTCTTGTGGGATTAATAAAGCATGTCTTCTTCATCTCCCCCCCCCGTGCACTTCCTCATCATGTCTCTAAATCAACCTCTCATCATGTCTCACCTGTGCGATCTCCTCGGGCGTGGTGACCGGCTTGGAGAGGTTCTTCAGCTCCTTGATGACGGTCTCCACGGCCATCATGACTCCTCTGCGGATCTCCACGGGGTTGGCTCCCTTGCTGATGATGTCGAAGCCCTCCTTGGCGATGGCGCGGGCGAGCACGGTGGCAGTGGTGGTGCCGTCGCCCGCCTCCTCGTTGGTGTTGTTGGCCACGTCCTGCACCAGCTTGGCTCCGATGTTCTGGTACCTGTCCTTCAGGTCGATGCTCTTGGCCACCGTCACGCCGTCCTTCGTGACCTTCGGGCTGCCCCAGCTCTGCTCGATGATCACGTTACGACCCTGGAAACACAGACAGGAAGTGGTTAGATATAAAACGGGTCTAACACTGGGATCTGGATTACATTACAAAGGGGATGTAGAGAGTTTGAGGCTTCATCAAAATCTGTTTGAATTATCTAATGTTAGGGAATAATATGCCCTCGTGTCCTCCTTCACAGATGCTCCAACCTTGAGCAGCCGTTATCTCCCTTAAGGAGGGGCTGCCCTAGCAAGTTGATGTTGTTACCAGTTTGTGAGCGGGAAACTGTGCATCATTGTTGTGGGAAACCTGGAACACATCCTTCTCGGGGTGTAGATGACCCCGAGCCATAACCGACAACTAAAGTTGATTCAGTGTCCTCCGCTGTTGTGTCTAACGAATGAAGAATGTTGTTTACCCTTAGCGAAACTAGTTAGAACCTCATAGGAGCGGAAGGTGTGGCATCTCTACCCTGTGGTCAAACCGTGGCCCGTGACATGTCGTGTGCTCCGGCCGAAGCTCCAAATAAACCGTCAGTGTTTGCCATCAAAGCTCCAGCTCTCCTCGTGTCTCTCTTTGAGTCCTGACTCCAATTGCTTCAGAAGTTTCCCCCCCAGAAACACTTATATTATACAATGTGTAGGATTGCTTCTCGCACGTGTGATCCACATCCTCATTTGTTTGTGTTAAAAAAATAAAATAAGGGTTTGACCTCCCGCTTGCAATGGAAGCACACATTTGTACTATCTAAAAGCTCCATATATTACCACAATTACTAGTATTTGCTTACGGACAGTGACTATAAAAAGACGTAGCATAAATGATCAGGTTGGAAAACCTTTTAAAAATGTTTATAAAAAACAATAAAGAGACTTATTTTAATCAGATTAATGTAAAATACAGGATTTTATTCACGTTTTTTTTGTTTTAAAAGCATTTATTTTAGGTATTACAATATTACCCAGCACCAGTGGTGAGTTAAGTATTTAGATCCTTTAATTAGATTAATCTGTAATTAAATTCCTGCTTTCAAACCCTTATGAAGAAGAATGCTAATCTGATTTAAAGAACAAAGGCTAATCCAATTAATCACTTTGTCCAAATTGAGGGTTTTATTCGAGGACATTTTTGACGACCGACACAAAAGTGTGTAACTCATTACTTACAGCTCTCCTATTATACTGTTTGTCATCAGTATATCACAGGTCTCATATATATCCAGAGCCTGTCTCTGATTGGCTGAAACACCAAACAGATCATTGCAGCATTACCCATAATCCCCTCTGTTTCAGCCCTGTTTCCAAAGTGCTGATTCTCTGTCTGTTACTTTAGATGAAAATAAGACATGTTGATGTAGAAGAGACATGAAGAAGAGGGGACACATGTTGATGTAGAAGAGACATGAAGAAGAGGGGACACATGTTGATGTAGAAGAGACATGAAGAAGAGGGGACACATGTTGATGTAGAAGAGACATGAAGAAGAGGGGACACATGTTGATGTAGAAGAGACATGAAGAAGAGGGGACACATGTTGATGTAGAAGAGACATGAAGAAGAGGGGACACATGTTGATGTAGAAGAGACATGAAGAAGAGGGGACACATGTTGATGTAGAAGAGACATGAAGAAGAGGAGACACATGATGTAGAAGAGACATGAAGAAGAGGGGACACATGCTGATGTAGAAGAGACATGAAGAAGAGGGGACACATGCTGATGTAGAAGAGACATGAAGAAGAGGAGACACATGTTGATGTAGAAGAGACATGAAGAAGAGGAGACACATGTTGATGTAGAAGAGACATGAAGAAGAGGGGACACATGTTGATGTAGAAGAGACATGGAGAAGAGGGGACACATGTTGATGAAGAAGAGACATGAAGAAGAGGGGACACATGTTGATGTAGAAGAGACATGAAGAAGAGGAGACACATGTTGATGTAGAAGAGACATGAAGAAGAGGGGACACATGTTGATGTAGAAGAGACATGGAGAAGAGGGGACACATGTTGATGAAGAAGAGACATGAAGAAGAGGGGACACATGTTGATGTAGAAGAGACATGAAGAAGAGGAGACACATGTTGATGTAGAAGAGACATGAAGAAGAGGGGACACATGTTGATGTAGAAGAGACATGGAGGAGTGGATTCTGCACAATAGGCGACCTTCAATAAGAGTTCTCACCTTGGGGCCCATGGTGACGGCCACAGCGTCGGCCAGCAGGTCGACTCCCTGCAGCATCAGAGCTCGAGCTTCAGCTCCGAACTTCACGTCTTTGGCGTAGGATCGGGTGAGGTGAGGGGCGAGCGCACGGCACACGGGCCGCACCTGCTTCATGATGGTCGGGAGGCGGAACATCTCTGAGGAGAAAACAGACAGAAAGAGGAGGAGTTAGCCGACACGTGAGAGACTAATGGACATCGTGATGTGTCCAATTAAACCCTATTTCAAGCATACTACGTCATCGAGTGCCGCCGAAGGACTGTTCCAATGTCCAGCATACTTGGAATCCTACCGAGCCCGGCGTACTTCGTTTGGAGAAAGTTCAAGGCTGCACATGTGAAGACTCCGCTGTCTTTAAATCCCCACAACGGACCAATTTCCCCAAATCTGTGGCGGAAAATGTAAGGCGAGGCCTCTCATATGAGGCACACTTGCTCGCCTGTTCCACTCTTCGTTTTCCGAATGCTAGGAAGTGTTCTTGCCTCGCTTCTGAAGCAAGTGCCTCGGAAGACATGTGCTACCAAGCAAGCGTACTCGACATTGAGAAACACCCACAGTCTCCACAAACTAAGAGTATAAAGCAGAAATACTACCTCAAATTTGTACCCGATTAGTGTAATATATATTGAACCAGGACAACCACACATTTTTCCATCTGCCAAATAGTCCTAATTCACAGTAATTTAGCCCAATAGTTTAATTTAATTAAAAACATCCTAAAATATAGTGGTAGAAGGGAACTAAGTACATTTATTGAAGTAGATGTTAACTGTTGATGTTGAAATGATATTAAAGTATTGTAAAAACCTGCTTGTAACAAAGCAACTTCACAAGTTAGGATCACTAAGGTTAATTTTGTCTTATTAGCAATACAATTTATAGGTATTATTAATTTACTCGAGTAAATGTTCTGCTAAATTACAGAAATCTCCACAAATTGTTCTTTTTTTAAAATTCAATAACATGTATTTGATAGATTGTAAAGTTACTTTCTAGATAAAAAAATCTAAATCATAAACCAACAAATGAATGACAAGCTGTACAGCAGTAGATAAAACTACTAAATGAATGAGTTAAAATTAGCCCCATATTAACCAGCTGCAACATTACACATTCATACTTATAATACAATTAAATACACTGTCCTGCAAAACTATAAATTAAATGCATTTAAAGGCATGACTTTATCTTCAAAGTAAGAGTATTTCTTCACTGTAGTATTGGTACATCCTAAATAATCATTCAAACCCCCCCCCCCCCCCCCCCCCCCCCCTCAGATGTCACATGAGGACAGATTATGTGTTACAAAGGTTAACTGAGCCCCCTAGTGGTCTCTAGTGGTATCGCATGGCACCAGTTAATGAATGAATGAATGAATATCCACTTCTAAGTCAAATATTTTCAAAGTTCTCTGAATTATCTTCTACAAAAAGGTTAGATTTATTACAAAATATAATGTCACAGGTTAACTTGTGTTTTCAGGGGATGGATATAAAGTCACTACAGTTATTATTAACTAATGAGTAGGCTGGGTTTAATTCAAACTACTAATTTTTAACAGCTACCTGAGGGGATCCAATCCAATCAGGACGCAACCATTTCTTATTAGTTAATTACTCAAATACTCTATTATTATTTTCATATATTAAAACATGTCAATGCTTTAGGGCCATGTTCATGTTGATTTAAGAAACCAAAACAAAGAATAATTGGCTTTTGTGCTTGATCAATATCTAAATAAGGATTATAAATCGTCTCGTTTATTAGAAATCCCGTACGTCAATATTGAAAAGTGGACTTGTCTCAAACTCATTCTAGAAAAATTGTCAATTTAGAAGTATTAAGCTACATAACTACTCAAGTAAAGTACATTGAAGTTGTACTTAAACACATGACTTAAGTAAATGCACTTAGTTACTTTCACCACTGCATTCAATTTAGTGCTTTTTTGCCATTTCTGTATAAAGAAAATACCTTGCAATTCTCTTGAGTGAATGCACTTCAATGTTATTTCTTACACTGCTTTTTCCTAATTTAAATCCAATCCTGAATTAAAAAAATCACCCGTTTTAGTTTGATTTTAAACCTGTTCGTGTGGATCTTTAAACTACCTGTATTACATTTGACATTTCAATGATTTTAATATACCCATCGACTGTTTATCCTTCATTTGGAACAATTTAATGGCTTTTATATCACTGTTTTATAACTGTATAGCTGCTTCTCTGTTAGTAAATGTCCCTTTTCCTTGATTACAAAATATCCTTTTAAATGAGGATCGCCCTTTAATTATCTCAGACATATTGATATTGAAGGCTTCTCATCACATATTAAAATACAATCCCCACAAATTAAGAGTATAAAGTAGCATAAAGCAGAAATACTACCTCAAATGTGTACCTAATTACAGTAATTGGGGACACACAGTGGCGTCACTATGATCTCACAACCACCCATCTTTCAATTTGCCAAAAATAAATAAATCCTAATTCACAGTATCTATAAATAATAAAGAATCTGGTTTATTTTACCATCTGTCATTAATCGTGACTGGATTATGAAAAGCACCCCACCCCCCAAAACAATCCACTTCCGGGTTCCCCCCACCCCCACGTGTGCTCTTCAGGTCGTGCGTCACAAGGTCATATTGTAAAAAAGCATGTGCGGAAACAGCCTGGCCATTAATGAAACTCCATCCTACTGTCGGACAGCAGGAATACATGGTTATAATGTATTTCAATCATAATTAATTCATATTAAAGACACGCTTCCTGCATTGGATGTAAGGTTGTGCACAGCTGCAGTATGACAGGCATCATGACATTTCTGATTAAATTCAATTAAAGAAGAGGGTATCAAGTATATCATACTAAGACAGTTACCTACAATTAGATATAGAATGTAGTTGGATTCAATCATGTATGTCCTTGCAGTTACGAAAGAAAAACCTGTATGCTAGGAGTATTTAAAGCTAGTATAGTTGCCTCACAGCTTGAGCAGAAATCCGCCTTTAATGTTACACGAAAGTGCATTAAGCTTGTAGTATTAGTCTCATTAGTTTTTTAAGGAGTTAGTAAAGATGTCAGCACTTACTTGTGAGGTATTAGAGATCGTGTAGCTGCTTCTTGGTGCAGGTCTGCAGGTCTGAATGAGAGACGGTCGGAGTAAAAGGACGAGCCGTGTGCTGCAAATGAGATCTGATGGAGCTGCACATGGCTTTTCACATCCGGGGCATTCGCCGGCGGGCCCCGGAACATGGATAACTGCAGAACACTTTGGAAAAAAGGGACTTACAAAACAGCAAAAATACAGATGTATTTGAGTATATTCAATACATGGAGTATACCTGTGCTAGTAAGTATATAAATATATTGAATACAAAAATAAATCATTTAAACAAGAAAGATGTTAAAAAACGTAATGCTATTTTATTTCTATTTCCATTTCTAAAATGAATTGGATTGTTTATTTCTGTGTCATAGTTTCTCTTATGTACACTGCCTTGTGTTTTTTATGCTGCTGCAATGCAAACATGTCCCAAATTGGGATCAATAAAGTATCTAGCGATGCCATTACGCTATCCAGCCAGCCATCTATCCATCCAGCTATCGAGCCTAGCGATCTATCTAGCAGCGAGCAGAGAGCGAGCGAGCGAGCGAGCGAGCGAGCGAGCGAGCGATCGAGCTAGCGAGCGAGCGAGCGAGCGAGCGAGCGAGCGAGCGAGCCAGCGAGCGAGCGATCGAGGCGAGCCAGCGAGCGAGCGAGCAGCTAGCGAGCGAGCGAGCGAGCGAGCGAGCGAGCGCCAGCAGCGACGAGTAGCGGAGCCATCGATCGAGTCTAGCGAGCTATATCGAGCGAGCGAGCTAGCGAGCTAGCTAGCTCCAGCATCTATCGATTCTATCCATCTATCTATCTATCTATCTATCTATCTATCTATCCATCTATCTATCTATCTATCTATCTATCTATCTCTCCATCCATCCATCCATCCATCCATCCATCCATCCATCCATCCATCCATCGACCGACCGAGTATCTACCCAATAGTGTTTGGTGCATGCGATACACATATAAAGAGAATTAAGTACTCAGTGTTTACTAAATTGTACGGTGTCGTGATAGGCGCCTTTAAATACAATTTCTTATTATTAGAAACAAACAAAAAGGACATATAAATAATTACACCAACAACCAACAGAGAGCCTTCACTTTCAATGTTTCCAATACAACATTCACTATGTAAGGTAATATTCACTTGTGTAATTCAGAATATCTCTCTATGCTCGTTCCGGGGCTGGCTGTTTCTAGAAGCTTCTCCTGTGCCATTGGAGGAAAAAATAGAGGTCAAAGTTTATATTGTGCAACATTGCTGCGACAAAATAAGACATAAAACACCACTAAAACACCTTAAAAACACCCTGTATTCCCCTTATATAACATGTATGAATGAAAACAGTTGTTGTTATTCCCAGGTAGGTGTTGTGGAATCTTCTGGAAGGCAGAGAATCCGGTGCCAATTTCTACACCGTAATGCGCATGCGCAGTACATTTCACGTGGAGTACAGATATCCCCCTTCAGTCTGTGTCACAGTAAAACCTGCAGCTTCACGTCGTCTCCAGACCTCTCACACATCAAGAAATGGTAAGATACTCGGCTTTAAACAACTGTGGGTGTTAATAATTCAAACTAAAGACAGATAAAGGATTTAAATACAGGATAAAACTGGCTGCATGTGGCTGCTGTGTTATAATACGCAGCTAGCTAATGTTGTGTTAGCTGCCTTTAACATGGTTTCACAAGGTCAAGCGATTAAAAGCTGAGAGAAGGATGCGTTTACTAAACAAAGGCATATTTTATCTTAATAATGCATTGTATTACTGTTATAGGAGATGACTGACTAGCTTTAACGTACAAATGGAGCTTTAAACCGATATATTTCTGCTTTTCTTGTGTAGTATTAGTTATTATCAGTCATCAAAGCAGACATATGGGGATATAAATGCAGGTAATTTAGTGTCATAGCTTACTGATCCTGACATTCATTCATTCATCCCTGCAGCAGCAGTCACATGTGAATGAATGAAGTGTCAGAGATCCTATAGAAAGTCCCGTTTTGACTCTAATTTCGGGCTATTATCTCTTAAAACTGCGTATTTATTACATGTTTGTCATATTGCGCTATGCATGCCCTTGGTGGGTGAAAAATACGAATTGCATGCTCGGTGAAATCGTTTCCGGCTTCCGTTTACGTCGTCTCTGACCTCACATGTCCATGCACACTACAGCTTAACTTTGTAAGGTCCTGAGACCATACAATAATGCCAAAATCATAACTCAAGATGTGTTTATCTATAGCATTTGTAGCCAGTTTCCCAACAAGTAAATCAAATAATTATTCATTATAGCAATTATATGCAGAATTGATCAGGAGATTTGTGAATACACTTAAAATAAATTATATATCTGATAAAACAGCGAGGTCCTCTTAATGAGCTAACATTGACTCAAATAGCAACTTATTTGTGCTATTTTAGTCTATAAATGAAATGCATTAACATATTTGTCAAATATTGTGGTTTTATTACAGTACAGCTGTGGGGATAATTGAATCTTAAAGAACTAAGTACCACAGGAAATGCAGAAGGTATTATACAAATAGGAATATATTCTGTAATACATCCTACAGTTTATATACTTTATCAGCTACAGCTTCGGGGACTTCAGTTTGTGGTGCTGTTGGAAACCAAAAGGGGTTACTCTCATCAACACTGGGGTGCAGTACTAAAAAAATAGGCTGTGTGGTTAATCGTAGCCATTTTATGCAACTTGTGCGCCTACAACCTTGTGAAATACTGCACTGAGAACATTCTGGTAATCTGTACAGCCGGCCTCGAGTGTTATCTTGTCATTTTAAAAACCTGGAGGACATTGCATCACCAGTCAAGGTTTTTTGTTTCATACATAGTCTGTTTCTGACTTGAGTGATTCCCCAATACTCCAAAGAATCCTCCACTAAATGACCATTCAAGTATGTTATCAGCTGTCCTTGTCCTCGGGTTAAACCGCCACGATGAATGAGTAACCCCACCTCTTTCTGATCAGTCCACAAACTGTAACCTGTCCTCCCCCCATACCCTCCCCCTCCCCCTCCCCCTCCCCCTCCTTTAACTCCCACTTCCACCACCTTGTTCAAAAACAACCTTCAACCAAGGTCACCGGTACATCTGCTGCCATCAGACATGTTGGTGCAGCTGGTGTTATAAATCTTGTCGTCCATTATTCAGCTGCTGCTTCTCCTATATTAATAGAGTGAATGAAGAAATGCTGACATTCATTACACTGAGTTTTGTCATAATTTCACAAATGCTGCCTTTAATTAAGCTCTATGAAGACTTACTCCACCTCCCCCCCCCCCTCCATTTATCTTCCTCCCCCTTTCCCAAATAGATCAGCCACAACTGGGAATTAATCCCCCCCCTTAAACACATTTGAACCCCTTTTTGTTTTTCTTGTGTAAAAATACTGTAAAAGAATCGATGCAACAGGTGTCTTTAGGGTTGTGTAACATAAACGTCTTACATTAAAATAAAGGTTTTATTTAGTGATGTTACAAGGTCAAATGTAATTTCTTATAACTGTGTTTATTAGTTGAGTGTTACAGACAAGTTGAATGCAAACAACATTTTCCATCCATCCATCTTCTCCCGCTTATCCGTGGTCGGGTCGCGGGGGTAGCAGTTCCAGCAGAGAGCCCCAAACTTTCTTTTCCCTGGCGACATCAACCAGCTCTGACTGGGGGATCCCAAGGGGTCCCAGGCCAGCGAAGAGATATAATCCCTCCACCTGGTCCTAGGTCTACCCCTTGGTCTCTTCCCAGCTGGACGTGCCTGGAAGACCTCCCTAGGGAGGCGCCCAGGTGGCATCCTAACTAGGTGCCCGAACCACCTCAACTGGCTCCTTTCGACGCGAAGGAGGAGCGGCTCAACTCCGAGTCCCTCCCTGATGACTGAACTTCTCACCTTATCCCTAAGGGAGACACCAGCCACCCTGCGGAGAAAACCCATCTCGGCCGCTTGTATGCGACAACATTTTCCTCAAGCCAAAAAAAGCTAATCTGACAAAAAAGGGGAATATTTGTTAAATGGTTAAAGAACAACAACAAGGTTAATGTTACATTTTCAAGGATTACACTCTAGAAGATGTCATTATGCAGCGTGTCCTTAAATAATACACTGACTGTATGTCTACTAATTACATATAAGGAGATTTAAAGCTTAAATTCAGCTTATTCCAGGAATGGATGCCACCTTTTTTCAAATTCTCTAGTTGAGAGTTTCTCTAGTTTTAAGTGCTTTATGGCCTCTCTTAAACCTATTTGATAGTCATTTATATTATTCGCTAATGATGTCCTCTCTTTTCTGGTCACTTCACAGGCTTTCAGGAAATTCCTCCCCTTGTTCGACCGGGTGCTCGTGGAGCGTTTTACCCCAGAGACGGTAACGAAGGGCGGCATCATGCTGCCGGAGAAAGCTCAGAGCAAAGTGCTGCAGGCCACGGTGGTTGCAGTCGGGCCGGGCTCCCGCAACGTGGTGAGATTACCTTCTTCATGTCTCTTCTTCATCAACATGTGTCCCCTCTTCTTCATGTCTCTTCTACATCAACATGTGTCCCCTCTTCTTCATGTCTCTTCTACATCAACATGTGTCCCCTCTTCTTCATGTCTCTTCTACATCAACATGTGTCCCCTCTTCTTCATGTCTCTTCTACATCAAGACGTGTCCCCTCTTCTTCATGTCTCTTCTACATCAACACGTGTCCCCTCTTCTCCATGTCTCTTCTACATCACCATGTGTCCCCTCTTCTTCATGTCTCTTCTTCATCAACATGTGTCCCCTCTTCTTCATGTCTCTTCTACATCAACATGTGTCCCCTCTTCTTCATGTCTCTTCTACATCAACATGTGTCCCCTCTTCTTCATGTCTCTTCTACATCAACATGTGTCCCCTCTTCTTCATGTCTCTTCTACATCAACATGTGTCCCCTCTTCTTCATGTCTCTTCTACATCAACATGTGTCCCCTCTTCTTCATGTCTCTTCTACATCAACATGTGTCCCCTCTTCTTCATGTCTCTTCTACATCAACATGTGTCCCCTCTCTTCATGTCTCTTCTACATCAACATGTGTCCCCTCTTCTTCATGTCTCTTCTACATCAAGCATGTGTCCCCTCTTCTTCATGTCTC